CTGTTTTTGCAAACTAAATGTTTTATATTAAAACTTGTTGATAATGTTATAATTTGCCAATGGAGTCTTCAAAGAAGTTATAGAGAATTGAATTATCTACCTTGGGGTTTTTGAATTTTAGTAATATCATGTCTGTAGCTTCGGTTATTGTGCATACAATGAGAACCTGTCAAGCTGTATATTTTTATTTATCCACTACACCCATGTTTTGTATGTTTGCTGTATTATGTGCCTTTAAATTATTTATCTGCCTGAGTGTTCTTCATGAAAGTGATAGTGGCATGAGTTAGGGATATTTTCCAAGTCGTTTAATCATAATATGACCTGTAGACTGAAAGTTATATGCATTTTAAATTCAACACGCATGCTAAAAATTTGTGCTAGTTCATGTTTAGGTTTCCCAAAATGAATTGTGAATTTTCAAAAATTAGCTTTTCATCAATTTTCATGTATATGTGCCCTATGTGTCTTAATCTGGTTGGTGTTATGGTGTTAGCTGGAAACACTTGCGAGAGAAGCTTTACGCTAGACCTCGAAGTGCGGAGGCTATAGTTGTATATGTGGTCGAACTCGTTTAGGACCGCCAACACGATTAGCTACCTGAGTAAAAGCTGTCGTGACGGCCGACATTATTAGTCGGAAGGGTCAAGCGAGCTAACTATTCCAATGTTCGGCGATGATCGCCGAGGTTAGGATTTTTCCCGGCAGTGATGCCAATGTTCGATTCCTATGGAAAATTGTAGCTCAACAGTAATGCTTAAACGGTTGTAATTTGAGGAGTATTGTAAGGAAGCCTTTTTCCTATCTAAGTACTTAGGATTAAGAACCGGAAATTGAAATTTCTGGTGTGTACCTTAACTGAACGCTGAACCTGGATGGTGTAGCCACGTGAAGTGGTGGTCGAGCCGCATGCCCGTGCTGGTAACGTAAGGCCAACTGCAGTGGCCGACCGTTGACTCGCACGAGAGCTGCCGCCGCCATCACCAAATGCAGGAACTCCCCAGGCAATGTGTACGGCCAAACCTCGATCTTGCAGCTGGTCTCTGAACAGATGCATGCACACGTCCTGGCGCCCCGCTTATGCAGCGCCTGTGTGTGTGTCATCTCTCGGGTGACAGTGCATTAAACCCCAAGCCGAACCGTTGTATGAAATCACTAATCAACGACTCTCGATATGTGAGACTTGTTGATTAGTTTTCCTTTGTCTTATGCAAATTCTCTCGTGTTAGCGAGATTTAGGTCCCTCATCGTTTTCGGGCAGTGTCCCGAGTCTCGATTGGAGACTATGTATACTTCGTAGGGATCGAGACCTAGGAAGAGTGAGAGAGTTTTGGTGTTAGATAGTTAGTATGAGAATATCGAGCATCCCTAATCGTGAGACCGATTCTGCGATAGGAGATTGTTTTCGAACATCTAGTCGATATTTCCTAAACCGCATTCGAGGTGTTATTCGAGTCGGCAAGGGAAGAGTTGTTGACAACGGTATCAAACAGAGCCGTGTTTTCTGTAGGTATCGGTGTTAAGGATATAGTGTTATTGTGGATTGTTAGCCCATCCGTATGGGATTCTGTGGCGGCCTGTTTTATAAGGACGCACAGATCGTGTCGTTGTAGTAATCGAGTTTTTCTGTCGTGGCCCGGGCACGAGATGAAGCTCGATACAACAAGTCAACCCTATATGTTGATTTTGTTGGATTATGCTATCGAGACACGTAAGGACCGGTTAGGGTCTCGTGTATTGATAGATGAGTAGAGTGTGGGAATTCCTTGCCATGCGAGATGACTAGTACGGATGGAGGTGGAGTAGACCGATGTTCTGGTTACTGCCACGCGTACTCAGTCTTATTTTGATTCCTGACCAAGTCGCTGATTTAGCCTGATGGTTGACACCACCACCGGAACTCGCGAGGATGCATGACATGTTCTATGCCTCTTGATGGAAGAAACGTGTGCGTGATCTCGGAGTACATGTGTGATGTGACGAGCTGCGTGATAGGCAGAACCCTACCTGTATGAAAGTACCGGTGACCTATTGGATCAGAGGGTCCATTAGGATAAGGCCGGGAGGGGTACTCGTCAAGTCCAGTGGGAGGGTGGTCAAGGCAAGGCGACTTGGGAGGAGGGGGACCGAAATTCGGAAGAGATACCCGAATTTCATGTGTTGATGTTTTCCCCTCTTTTTCTCGTTTGTTTTCGTGTCGCAGTTTGTATTTCGAATTCCGAGGTCGGAATTCTTTGTAAGGTGGGTAGACTGTAGCGCCCCGTTCGTTTATGAATTATTTAGGAATTTTATTATTATTATTATTATTATTATTATTATATTACTGTGTGTATTATATATATAAATATTATCCGAATTTTATTTTAATTGTCGTGCGATCAATTGAGCTAGTTTTATTGTCGGAATAAATCGAGCCCGAGAACCCAAAATCGAGCATTATTATTTTCGGCCCATAAGAGCTAAATAATTCGACATTTTGTTCAAGTATTTTTGGCCCGTTAAAGCCTTTATCCTCGGCCCATCAGTTTAATTAATACCGGCCCACTTTATTGTATAATTGGACCCAAATAGGTTAAAGACTCTTGGCCCACATTGAACCCTTAATCACAACTCCTAAAGCTGATTTTCCCCTCACTTCTCTCGACATCAAACATAACCCTGCAGCCTTTTTCCTTCTCGCCCAAATCTCAGAAAAATCGATCGTGACCTTCATCGTCGATCCTCCTCTGCAAATTTTTTTTTCCGTCATCACTACCCCATCTCATCACCAACGCCATCATCGTTTTCCTCTCTCCTCATCGTGCAACCATCGGCGAAATCCGTGCAGGCCTGACGAGCCCGCAACTCCGACCACCGTCGCTCCTCCGCGCGCTTACATCTCCGGCGAGCTCTCTACTTCGCGAACCAGTCCGGCAAGCTCCTCCTCGCCGCGAACCAGAGCAGACGCCGCCTGGTCGTGACGCCACCCCAGAAGCCCTGCCGCGCCGTGAGCAACCCTTCGTGGTCTCTGTTCGCGAATTCCGGGGAGTTCTCCCCTCCGCACAGCACCTCCGTCGCGCAGGTCCTGCGCACCAGCAGCCGGCGACCACCTTCACGACGATCCCTGCCACCGCGAGTAGGCCCTGTTCTCCGGCGAGCGACCACCGCCTGCAACCCCGCCGCGACCAGTCCTCCTAACGTCGCTGCCCCTCGACTACCGTTCAACACCACTGTGAACCAGCAGCGAGTCACCATGCTCGACCATTGCTCCGTTGTCCGCTTGCTTCGCCATCGCGAGACGAGCGTCTGCCGTCGAGCCCGAGAAACGCTGCGCAGCACCTCCCGAGCCACCGTGCGTTTGCCGTTCGTTCCCTCCGTACGAGCAGTGAACTCTGGCAGCGACCTAGCAGCAGCAACCCCCTTCTCAGCCGTTGTCTCCTTCGCGAGACGACGCTTGCCGTCGAGCTTGCCGCTAGCTCGCCTCGTCTTTCCGTTCCGTTTTTTGAATTCTCGATAACTGTACCTAGTCGATTTCCGTCTCGTTTAAATCGTTTATGTTATTTATGATATGTGTGATTTGCGATTTGATATGCGAGATGTGATTATTTGTGCGATAATGTGTTCGATATGAGCTATGTGATAATTGTGATTTTATGTGTGTCGTCTAAGTGTTCGAGGATCTCTTCAATTATGAGAAATTGAACGAGACCTCAAAAGTCGTGTAAGTCGGTGGATATTGGAACAATGTCGAGCCCTTGGTCTTATGAAAAGGCCTCGGACGATAAATTGTGTGTTGTGATTTAATTGTCAAGTTGTCGAGCTTGTTAATCGCTGTTTTGATGTTCGAATTTTTAAAAATATCTCGCTGCTCGAAACGATGTGAAATTTTGTGGGATGTGTTATCTGTTCATATTCTGCCTTGTGTAAAATTTTCATAATTTTTGGAGGCCTGTAGCTATTTTTAATAATTAATTTGTATTCTGTCCAGAATATTGTTAAATGCATAATAAATTCATTCCCGACTGAAATGAGCTGAAATTTGAATATGTCATGCCTCTGTGTCTTATATGTGTTGTGTTAAATTTTCAGAATTTTTGGAGTTGATTGTTATGGATAATATTTTATTTATTGATTCTGCAGAAGTGTTGTTTGAATTTTTAAAACTCGGTTACTGCATGGAAAATTCTGAAATTATACTGAGAGTCATATATTAGGTGTTTGATCATGTTTGTAAAAGATGAGAATTTTTAGAGTCTGTTTTGTTTGAGTTTGGGTTTAAATTTGATAAACTGCTGTTGCTCGTTTGAATTTTTAAAAATAGCAGTAGTTATCATTTAAGGCTGAAATTTTTATAAGTGGACTTTAGCATGCTGTATGTGGTTGTGTAAAATTTTCAGGTTCAGATTCGGCCATTAAGTCCGAGTATTAATTAATGTGCCCATTTTGCTGATATACTGTTCGAATTTTATAAAATAGGGTATTTTGAGTTTAAAGCTGAAACTTTGTGGTTTTACATGTTGCTGGAAGATGAAATTTTGGGTAAATTTTCAGAGCTTAATTCGTAGGGTAGCTTGACCATCTATTTTCATGCGATTAAATGATTTCTATTTCCGAACATGATTTTTATGAAAGTTGGGAATCGACTTGCTTTTCGTTTTGATGTGAGTTTGACTTGGTCAATCCTTAGATGGATTTATGTGAACTCCCATATGTGGTTTGGTCGAGTTTAGTGCCGAGTCTTAGTGTTCCAACATCCACAGGACTTCACGAACTACTTAGTCGAAACAAGTTCGACTAGGTCTGTTTTGTGTTTTCCGATTTAGTCACGATATTGATTGTAGGATCTTGACATAATGTAGGTGTTTGAGGAGTCAAGCCTCAACCTACGACTATTCTGAATTGCTGTCATCAGTCCGAATCTAGGTGGGTTGTTATTCTAAAATTATCTATGCATATGTGTGATTTAATTGTGTGGAAAATTTGGTATGATCTATGTATGCATGTGAACATGTAGCCTATCGATGTCAGCTGTTACGGCCGTCGGTACGGTTGTCCCCGTCGAGTTACGGTACGGTGCCCTTGTGTGGCAATCTCCTTTAAGTCCTGATATGGCCGTACCCTTGTAAGGTACGTAAGCCTATATGGAAGGCCGTGTCCGTTACAGTGGCACGTACTCCCGCCTTCGGGTAATGAATCCCCGTTCTGCGGCTAGCGATAGATGTGCACATGAGTAAGGTTAAATGGTGTGATTTTGATTAGGAGATGAGACATGTTGTGACCATTGTTTATGTTCATGCTGCGACCATACCATTGTTATGTTATTCATATGCATAGTGTGAGTACGATATTTAACTGTACTCACTCCCACCTGCTCTTCACGGATGCAGGTTAAGCAGCTGGCGGGTGACGAGACGAGATGACGAGTGGTGGTTATATTATTATTTATTGCTTTATTAACCTTGCTTCCGCTTAGTTCATGAACTCATGTTGAATTTGGATTTTTTTTGGTTATGTCATTTCGGAACATGGAATTATGAATTATCTTTTATGAATTGGAACCTAATGAATGCTAGATTGGTTTATGGTATATTATTCGTGCATGCTGCCTTTATTTGCTGTGTTAGCATTTTTGGATAAAAGCTTTTGGTAGGTTGAGTAGCGCCCACTGAGTTTTTAATTAAATTAATGTTTGCGAAAAAAAATTTTATTGTGGTTTTTATTAAATAAATTCGATAAATCTTTCCAAATAAAGTGGGGCGTTACACGCGGGTCTGCGGCCAGGCGCGCTGGGCGCTGACGGGCGTGGCCAGAGGTCACTTGGGGGGTGTACCGGGCGTGCTGGGCACGCCACTAGCACGAACTGAGGCTAAGCGGGTGCGTGCGTGCGTGCACTGGGCACAACACTGCGCTCTGGACTAGGCGGACGCTGGCTGGGGTCGTGCGGGCATGGCGCGAGGCCCTCACGCGAAAGCTCATGCACTGGGACTCAGCACAACGCTACCGGGCGTCATGCGGGCTGCTTAGGCCGGTCGGGGGCTGTTGCCGCGCTGATGGGCACAGACGCGCGCGGCCAGGTGCGGTGATGAAGATCGCGTGTCTTGACTTGGTCGATAAGCCGCTCGCGCGCCTCGAATCGCCGATAGGTGCTAGTACGCGCGCCGACGCCTTCGTACTTCGCGATAGGTGTGGAAGAAAATCGGATGTTGGTCCTATTTCTAACACGATCTAGTTTGTAAACTCAGAGGAGTAAACTCACAAGACAATTTGAACAAGTGTTCGGGTATTTTGTATTAATTCTTCAATGATAATAAAATAAAATGAGTACATTGGGTATTTATAAGAAATACTAGATCTAGTCCTATACCAACTATAATTCTAATCTATAGAAAATATATCTAGTCCTAAAGCATCCACAATGCTTTGGGTCTCTTAATAAAATATTAGATGCCATGTAAGAATTAGACTTAGTCTATAAAAAAGTGTGTTCCAATGCAATTAAAAATAGATTTGGTCTAGCTTAGGTGGCAATAAAAAAAAGAGACCAAGCCCCCTCTCTAGTCTATTTTGAACCCAAGCATGGACCTGACTAGTCAGCAATTATTTATATTTTTTAATTATAGATAAAATAGATGGTGGGAAATATTGGCGGTACTGCGCGAAAACTCTCCCGCCGCGGCTTCTTCTGCGAATATAGAACCATCGGAGACAAAGTTTTGGCAGATCGAACTCTACCAGGTATGGTTTCTTTCCCCAAATATCTATTATTATCACCACTTGCTGTATATTTATTTTCATGAGACTGGTAATTATTGTTTTTTTTTTTTTTGGGATTTTGCAATAAATCATTTTCAAAACTTCTCAGCATCCCATCAATTCTGTTCAAGTGTTTGCGAACTGCCTTAGTACCCATTGTTATCATTATCCTGAGGAGTCAAACCCTAGGTCTGATTGAGTTATTCTAAATTAGCTTTTTTTTTCCTTTTTATTTCTTTTATTCTTAATTTGCTTAACTTGCTTATGCTTCCTGTGTCTTGAATCTTTTTTGTAAGATTTTTCCTACTCTAAGCACGATTGTTTGTAGTGAACATGTGAAGTTTACTCTTTCTAGTTGGCTTTGCACGAGATGAATTTATCTAGCAAGAATTGTGGGAGAAATGCATAAAAACAAAAATATGAGTATTCTGATTTGATTCATTTGGATATCTAGCTTGATGTGGATTTATTAGTATATCAAGCCTTACATCTTTAGCATTCCTGTTAGTCATGAAAATTGATCAATCAGAACAACTTCTGTACACATGTAATTGATTTTTGTTACAACGAATCTTACCAGAAAATTGTGTAAACTCATAAGTTAGTATACCTGATGTGTAGATTTTAATTTGTGCCAAAATTCATTTTTTAATGGAAATTGGAATGTGTCTATTTGCGAACTAAATTCCATCCAATCTTTATATACATTAGAAAGCTCTGATCTGCATGAGATTTCTGAAATTTGTGACCTTGCTTTTGTATAACCCATGTTGTAGAATTACATACTCAGACTATTAATTGATTAATTGACTTCTATTTCTCTTACAGGCATTGGACAATGAATTCTCAAGATGAAAATATCTTGGCCGTGTCTCAAATGGAAAATGCTACAGAGACAAATGAAGCATTGACTAAAACGAGTGAGATGAAAAATATATATGGTACGCCACAGGGTCCCGGAGGAATGGTTAATCCATTTGCATATTTTACTCCAGGATTCCAAGCGAACTTTGCATACAATCCAACAGATGCATCGACATCTCCTCCTGTCAACCAAAAAAATGAAGTCAGCTTATCATACCAACAATTGCTAAATGCTCCCATGTATCCTTTCCAGCCGACACATGTCTACCCTGCACAAACAACTCATGCGCACAAAAAGGCTAAGATAAAAGACAACGACTTCATGAGCTCTCAAACTCTTGAAAATGACAAATTCAATAAGACTTGGAGCAAAGATAAAGATGTTGCATTGACGAAGGCTTGGCTTTATATTTCAGTTGATGCAGATGTTGGCAATAACCAAAAAACTGCTGTATTATGGAAACGTGTTTTTCCTGTTTGGAAAGAAAATATGGGAGCTAAGTGTAAAGATAACCGAATGCCGATGAGCTTGCAACAACGTTGGAAAAAAATAAACCAAGCTGTTACCAAGTTCAACTCATTCTACGAGAAGTTGGATAGACTTCCAAAAAGTGGCACTAACTTGGATGATATGGTTAGTTTTTATACTTCATGTCATTCTATTAAATTATATATCTTCAATTTTTAATTTTATTTGTCAGTTTATCAAGGTGTTCATGTGTGCTGAACTTCTAAGTTAGATAGTGATAAGCTTGCAAAATGAGGTATTCTCCTTTAATTTTGTTGTACGTGTATTGTTATGATGTGCAATATAATTGGTCGGAAGAGCTGGACTGTTCTCAATATTTTTAGTTTTATTTTTATTTACCTCATAAAGTTAGCTGCTTTGAGAATTTTTTTTATCAGAATCCTTTTAAGCAAAGAAGTGTTGTTTTTGGATGGAAAATGGGGACAAAATGTAAATAATTCTGTAAATTTTGTTTTAAAGCATGTCAAAGCAATCTGAAGACTTGGGGTGTCCTTGGTATCTACTGGTATTAAACGTGAAATCATCTAAATGCTCAAGTTGATTGATATGAAGGCACTTTTTACTGGTATATTAAAACTTCAACAATTTTTTAGTTGCCTTCAAACTTATCACTCTAACTATGCTTTCAGAAACGAGAAGCTATTCGTATGTATAAAGAGTGCACTGGCAAAAAAGAATTTCAGTTTGAACATTGTTGGGAGACATTGAGAACAAATCCAAAGTGGTGCATGAAAAATATGACAAAAAAAAATGAGTTCAGTGAAGGTGATCATCCTACAGACAAAGACACATCATCAGTACACATTATCCCAGATGATAGTCAAGATGTGGACTGTGTTGGTGAGATTAACAAGACTAATGGCATTGTGCGTCCCCACGGAAGAAAAGCATCTAAGGAGGGTAAAAGGAAAACCAATGAAGATATAGCTGTGATAGATGCTATAAAAGGTTTGCGGTCTACTTTTGAGAAAGAGATTGAGTTTAAAAAGGAGAGTAGCAAAAAGGAATTTGAATTCAAGCAGCACATAGCAAATCAAGAGATTGAAGTTAAGGTTGCTGCTGAAAAAAGAAAACTAAAAGACCAAGAACTCCGCGAAGAAGCTCAAAAGAAAGAAGACCGACGAAAAGAAAAAGAATTGCACGAAAAAGAGAAACTTGAGAAGAAAGCTCAAAAGAGAGAAGAACAACATCGTATTTTGAGCATAGATGTTTCCAAACTTCCACAAGCTGTGCAAAAAAGGATTGAAGAATGTCAAATGCGGATACTAAATGAATGGGAAACTGAGGGTCTTTTTGGAGAAAATGTTGTAAGTTCCTCCATTATTTAGTTTAATGTATTATGTTGTTAATTCGTTTTTCCATTTGTCTTCGGTAATAATTTTTACATTGGTGTTGGCATGTAGGAAAACAAACAATTGGAAGAATCTTTGGTGGAAGAATCACGCAATACTCGAGAGATAGATTCAGACAAAGAGTGAATTGTTTTTGCTTTATTTTTAGCTTAATGCACACCAGACTTGCAAATTAAGCTATTAAGTATGTTAGTACATTTTTCAATGATTTGTTTAATTTTCTAATGGAGTATCTGTGTTTTATGCAAGCTTGTTTTTATGATTTTGTTTGGTGATATTTTTGCTTTAATTCTTGGTGAATGAGGTTATGGGCCACTATGTGAAAATATAATTCTTGCTAATTGAGGGAGAACCTCATGGTTCTGTTGGTAATTATTTGTATTCCAGCAGCATCAACTCTAGAGCAGGCCTGCCAATTTAATCTTTCATGAAAACTTTGTTAGTAATTATTTGTATTCCCACAACTCACTTAAATCAAATTTGTTGTTATAAAAGCTACAGATAGCTATTCACAGGCATTGTAGCTTTGTTAAATCATATCAGCAAGCATCAACTCTGTTTTCCAAATTAATGTGAATGGGTTACCGATAATTTTCACTTTGTTTCACATAATCAAACCAATCAATATCCACTAGTATGATACACGATTTGATAATCTGTTTGCAACTAAATATTAATATTCAGTTGCGAATAAGCATCACATTTACTAGCTCCGAGAAAAACTCAAAAGTTGAACCTAAAGCAGCTCTACTATCATGAAATACGAGAATGTATGATGAATATAATTGCTTTCTGGGAACTTTAACATCATATAACACTAATGTGCAAAGAATTATAATCCAACTGACTATTTAACATCATATAAAATAGTCGTATGTGGTGACGAATTGCTTACAAACTCCGTTACTTCTTGATGCTACTCTCCAATAACAATAACAATATATCGCACATTGACACGTGCAGAAGGCCTTATCGGCTCAGCTAAACACACTAACTCAAGAAATCATTACAGAAATTCAGAAAAAAAAGGCCTCACAAAGTTGTAACAAGATTATCAAAATTGCAAGTGGTCATGGACTAGCTAAAAGAAGATTAAGAAGCTGAAGACAAATACAATTTTTTTAGCACAAAAATAGGAAATAAAAATCATTACAGAACAAGATTTAAAAAAAAAAAACCTTTTAGTGTTCACTGGTGAAAATGGAGGGGTACCTTCAGGTTTCCTAACTCAAGGGGCAGTGAAATAGCTAATAAAAATGGAATAAACATAATAGGTAAACCAAAGCACTTGCTGGGCTTGATAGACAAGATCATTTTAATCAGAAAAACATAAGAGCAAGAAATAAAAAATCGATATTGGCCCTTGTTTGCAAATCTTCCATAAAGATAATGTAACAATATAGTGAGTTTTTTTTCACTCTCACACTAATTTTCACACACACAAAAGAAAAATCAATTCTTCAATGTTAAAGTAATTTCTCTGCCTGCAAATAACAAGAGCAGTAATGAATAAAATGGTAAACATATATCACTAATCAAGCAATTATTATAACATATTTAACACTCTACCACCTAAATGATAAATCAGAATAAACAAAGATCAACATTAAAAAAAAAAATATCTGCTTACAATCAACAAACTAATTAGATAGATCCTTTATCTCCATACATATCCCACATGTGATTAATAAGATCACCTTTTAGATCATTATGCAAGTGTCTATCTTGAACTTTCTTCAATCGACTAATCATTCTCGTTACAAGAAAATTATAGTCACGCTCTTTGTTTACTCTTTCTGACGCTTCATTCTCAGGATCTTGCCAATTCTCAGGATCTATTCCTTGACCTTGTTCACTTTCAATTATCATATTGTGTAAAATGATGCACGTTATCATGATTTTGTTAAGATCTTTTGGGTTCCACATACGTGCAGGGCCTTTTATAATATGCCATCTACTTTGCAATATTCCAAATGCTCTCTCGACATCCTTCCGCACAGCCTCATGTTGCTTTGCAAATATCTTCTCTTTCATGCAAGATGGCTGAGAAATGGACTGAATTAAAGTAGCATATGCTGGGTAAATTCCATCCGACAAATAATAACCCATATTATAGTTATGGCCATTTACAGTAAAGTCACACGGGGGCGCCACCTCATTAATGATATCATCGAATAATGGAGAGTGGTCTAAAACTGAAATATCATTGTGCGTTCCAGCCATCCCGAAGAATGCATGCCAAATCCATAAGTTCTTTGAAGCAACAATCTCCAAAATTAAAGTAGGAACCCTTTTGAATCCATTAGTATGAGTTCCATGCCAAGCTGTAGGGCAATTTTTCCAATGCCAATGCATGCAGTCCAAACTTCCTAGCATACCAGGAAATCCCCTAGCCTCACCTTCTTTGAGCAAGAGTTCAATATCGTTTTCATTTGGTTTTCTCAAATAGTACCCTCCAAAAATCTTAATTATAGCATCACAAAAATGTTTTAGACTCTCAAGCGCAGTACTTTCTCCAATTTGAACATATTCATCAAGTGAATCAGCCGCACAACCATATGCAAGCATCCGCAGGGCCGCTGTCAGTTTTTGTAGCGGACTAAGTCCATAATTTCCAACAGCATCAATCTTTTGTGTGAAATAATTGTCAAAGTTTTGAATCTCACCCAAAATACGTTCAAACAAGCTTATATCCATTCGGAATCGGCGTCGGAATTGTTCGGGTGTATATTTTGATCTCTCGCCGCTAAAGTAATCACTAATTATTAAATAATGTCGTTCTTTTCTTTCACGTCGAATGTAACGTCTTTTAAGCTTTGGATTTCCAAAAGCGTCCTTTGCCAATAAAACAGAAACCTGAAGTGTGGCCTGAAGCATATTCGAACAATCTTCATTCATGGGTTCAGCCAGTAATTTTCTTGTAATCGAAAACTCGTTGTCGCTTGAGGATGAGCTAGTAGAGTCCGATTCATAATTTAATGTAGACATTACTTTTGTCTTTTATTGCCTAAAAAAAAAAAAAAAAAGAGAGAGAGATATATATAATCACTAATTTAAACTCAACATGAATGAATTTATTCTTTTAATTGCAGTGGTAGAAGTTGAGTTTTGTATAACAATATTTTGGCTTTATTTGTATCAGAATCATCTTCATTGAGACTCCACTATCTCTAGGGCTCATTAAAAATTGAATGCAAATATGGGGAGTCTCAATTGAGAACATGAGATGTCGTTGGCAGAAATACTCTACCGATGTTGGCAAAAATACTCCACTATTTCACTATTTCATGAAAAACAAAAAAGAAGAAATACCTACCAATTTTGAACAGAAGACGTCGTTGGAGACCCACGACCTCGGTGATTGCGTGGCGTGGCTCGACGATGACAGCTTAAAGTGATACTCAGCGACGACACTCGGACGGCCCCTGGTGATAACACCCGACGACGACGCGATGATTCTGGTTACGATCCCCGTGCTCAATTGGTTGAAGAAGAAAAAGGAACTTGAACGGACAAGGGAGATGGGAATGAAACAGACGCATTTATTTTATTATATTTTTATTGGTTATAGGTATTTTAGACCTAACATTTTATTTTTGCATTGGAGAGACTTTGAGTTCTTTTACTTGGGTTTTGTCCATATCATTTTAGACTAAGTCTATTTTATATGCCACATCTGCAAAACTAGACCCAAAGCATTGTGGATGCTCTAAGGTAACTAAATGTCTTGCATATCAAGACTTACCAAATAATTAAATACTAATTCCTAACAATCTAATTATTCACGTGAACAATGACGTGAATACTAATCCTAACAAAACTAACCTAACTAATTAAATCACCACACGGCTAACGTAAATAAATATAACCTAACTAAATCTACTCCTAACAATACTATCTCACGGCACTATTTCCTAATCTAATAAACTAACTACTAACATATTAAATAAACTAATCTAACATGCCTACTAACGCAAATGAATAAATTAACAACTACTACTCTAATAATAATTAACCTAACATATATAATAAACTAACTATTAATCTTCTAGAATTTTCCGGCCCTTGGCTCGTACGGCTTGCCTCGTGCATTTGCGCATCACGCTCACGTACGCCTCCACGTGCTTCTTCGCGTGACCCTTTGCCAACTCCCGGGTACGACCGAACCACTATCGCTAAGCCCATACGTGCTCCCAAGTCCAGGTCCGTCCGTCTACGCGGTGTCCATCCTCGAGAAGCTCGGTCTCGATCGCGCATCCTCGTCCCTCGCATTCTCGACCCTTGCATGGTCGACCCTCGTGTGGTCGACCTTCATGCCTTGGTCGACCTTCGTGTGATGCTCGTCCCTTTCGAACTCGACGTTGCATGGTCGTCATCGACCTTCTCGCGTTGTCCGTGATCTTCGGGTCTCGATCGTGCACGTCTACGCCAATGTGCGTGTTCTCGCCCTTGCTGTCGGGTCACCTCGCGTACATGTTTGCGCGGCTGGAAGCGCACCTTCTTGTGCGCCCTCGCGCACCTCCATGCGCGACCCTCATTGGTCGGTTCCCTTGCACTCGTTTCGCCTCGCCTACGAGCTCGTACCCGTCTTTTAGGCCATGCATGCGTGGTTCTGGCCCTTTTCGCAGCCTTCTCGGGTCGTCTCGGCCATCGGCTCTCAGCGTCCTCGAGCCTCGAAACCCACATCTTCATCATGCGGTCGTGCCGCTGGGTTGCTGCGCGCCGCGCCTATATGGCGCGGGTATGCGCAGAGGCGGGACAGAGGCCCTGGCTGGCGCGGTTAGGCGCTGCGGGCGCTGGGACAGGCGCGGGTCGGCACTGCACGCACTACGTGCGCAGCTAGTGACCGGGTCCGACCTTTGCCAACTATTTTTCAACTTTTCTAGGTAAAAGCCACATGAATCAACATAATATAATGAAATATGGTAAAAAAATGCTAAGAAGGACTAAGGAGGGCTCGGACTTGTGCGGTTTGGTTCGGTAGGGCCTATATGACACCCTTGAACCCTAGGTCACCGAACGAACATACACAACTTGTAAAATCACTTATGGCCGAATTATTTACATGTAAAATGATGGCTATAGAGGCTAGAACATTTGTCATAACTTGTATGTATGCTTAAGAT